CCTGCTGAGCTTCTTGTGGCTCTTACCTCTTTGATACCTCTTCAAGCAAAATTCCTGGTTCAGTGCCTTTTAATTGTCTCTGTTCTGGTGCTGCAGAAGAAGTTTAATCTCTACAGTGTGTGCAGGGGATGGTTAGGGACTGTATAGCTAGCTGTGATGCTCTCTGTACTTTTTGTAGGTATCTATGCATTATGCCATTCTCATTATATGACAATTTGTAGGGCAGCAGGTCTTGTTTCTGCATATCTTCTAGTTCCCTGTGGCTGTGACATGAGTTCCTAGCAGGAGAGGACGGCTTTTCAGTTGAGCAAAGTGCTACCAAGTGTCTCACTTGCTATTCTGTCACTTTAGAGTGACAAATATGAATAAGGAATGTATCTGCTTTTATGAATGTTTTCATTTTTCTGCTATTATTTGCCTCTGCTAAATTTAAAGAAGCTTGGGGTGCCAAGTCTAAACACATACTTAATTACAGCCAGCATGAACTCCCATGCTGTCACTTGTTGATCATTGTCAAGGTATTTCACTTTGTCTGGTACAGCAAGGAAGACAAGTTCCATGTAGACAGAATGCCAGATAATAAAGCTGCCTCAGAAAAGCACATACCAGAACATGTACAGACTTTCTATCACTCAACATTAAAGCTATATATACTTCCCCTCCTTTTTGAAGAGCCTTAAATTACTGTTCTTTATGGATGGTATTCTTGTAGACTCTATAAAGAACATGCCCTTTGTGCTATGTGCCAGCCTAGTGCCTCTGATACCCTAGAGTGCACAAAGAGCCAGCTGAAGTGTAGTTAAGATGCATCAAGGCCTGGCATCAAAAGGCAACTAAAACTTCCCCTGTGTTTATGCCATCACTGCATTCTGTGGAGATTGAGGGTTCACTTGTGGGTTGTCAGATGTGTTATGGGCCTTACAAGAGATCCTGATCTCTTTGGATTATCATCTGGAGACCAGGATACGTCACAGCATCTGGAATTATTTAGTCATGTAGGTTTAGCAATGCCTTCTGATGAGTAAACATGCTGTTTTGACAAGCTACCCATTTTGCCATAACATAAGGCAAACAAATCCTTCACCCAGCATGTCCACAGCTGCATTAAGGACAAATCATCTTCTAATCTGCATTTGCTATTCTGACTAGGCTCCATTGAGAGTGTGGACCCCTGGTGTGCACTTAAGTTTACATGCCTAAGTTCAAGCTACATCCCAGTTTTAGATTCCTTTGATGGTCAAGAATAAACCATCTCAGCACTGAGTTTCTGCCATGACTTTAATTCCAGTGCATGGAATGATCTTGATAACACCACAGTGTTATTATCTTTACCCAACTTAAAATTTAAAATGTCCCATTTGCTTTCAGATTGTTTGCCATTTTAGCAGCTGCTAAAGTGTCAGCCTTCTTTAAAGCAATGCTCTGATACCTTTCTTTGAAACTTTCTCTGGGCTAGTGCTATTCTTTCCCTCTTTTGTCTTTTCTGTGCGCACTCATCTGCTAACTCCATAAAAGTGACCAAATACGTTGATCTTATATACCTTTTTACTGAGTCACTGTTACTGACTTATCTTTTGCCACAACATGGATGTAGGCAGCACCTTATGATGGCAGACTGGAAGCTGCAAAGCCAGGGAAATTTCTCTTTGCAGTCTTACTGTCAAAGATTAACGGGGGGTTCTCCCAAATCCCAATTGCAAACTTGTCCTTTGTCTGTAATATTCACAGGTATTGGCCCCTCAGGCTTTAGTTATTTACACTTATCCTGTCCATTTCTGAAGCATTTTTTACTGTCATGTGCTCTTGTGTTTTTCCACTCATTGTTCTGTTAGATTGAGCTAGTCTCGCAATATGGATGTGTCTTGCTATGGAATAAAAGTACAGCAAAGAAATCAGAAGTCTGTTGACAAGGTATAGAAAATCTGGGCTGACCATTTAACTGGAACCGTATAGCTGTTAGCCCTCCTGCAGGGTGCAGACAAGGGTCCTAGACAGGAAGCAGACCAACCAATTAATGAAGACTGCTCTAATCACTAGCTAAAGCTAGGAAAAAGTGGGGATATTTCCACAATAGAATTAATGTTACTTTTTGTACTGTCAAAATATATGTCCTGGTAACATCATCAGGCAAGCATGGCTTTTCCGAAAATGTCAGCCACTCTCATTTATATTTAAACTAAAACCTGAACATTAAAAATGGAATTTTTTTCTCCTCAATTTTAGCAGCCAGAAATCTATATTTAAAAAAAAAATCAATTTCTCTTTGTGCTTTGAAATGAAAATAATACTGCAGATAGCATAAGAAACACAGGATGTAATGCTAATATTTAATAAAAGAGCAGTGTATTTCATTAGTATTTCTAATAAGATAACGAAAGCGCTAAAAATATTTTCCCTGTTTCATAAAAGGTTGTAGGTGTATTATAAACAGTAAATGCACTTAAGATATGCACAGATTGTTCTTAAGAGTTTCTTTATACTAGCATGCTATTTTAACTCTTAAGTGTTAAAATAGTCTGTCTGTGTATGTATTTAATTTAGGCCTTAATTACTTATAGACTACGATGAACAGTTTGTACTAGGTTTCTTGGATGCTTTCGTGTTTCAAATGCTCATGTTTCAAATTACAAAAAGGACTACTAGGGTGATCTGGTGCTTTCAAGGCTTTTCTATGTATTTCGGCTCATCTGACCTTGTTATGAGCCTTCAGGTACTTCTGACGTTTATAAAAACAAGTGACTACATGCAGAATTTCAATTTCCATCAAAAAATAGCTTATGTCTGGTTTGATATATCTTCTGCTTGTTAATATCAACATTCAGTGATCAGTGCCCTCTCAACCTTTTTGGATCTTCTGTACATCAGCCTGCCATGGGTGACTGTGGCAGCCCCACTAGAAGTCATGGGGCTGCAGGAGTTACCCAAGTGGTCTGTTATTCAGGAGCATTGTGCAATTGTTTATTTATTTTCTGTACACCTGTGATCATGTATAATGCATATGAGGTTGTATAATGCATTTGAGAAATGGAAATAAAAAGGTGAGTGTTTTTTCCATGTGTTTCATGCTGATGAAAAAGATAAATATATTGTTTGGTTTGGGGGGCTATTCTTACTTCTGACATTTATTGTCATCCCTTCTTTGTTAATGAGTCAGTTTGTTAGGGAAGGCAGACTTGATAGTTTTTCACCTTCACAGATGTTACAAAAACAGCATACCCAGGAAGAAAGGGAATTACAAATGTTTCCCAGTTATAAAGAGTCTGGGAGAATATATCGGGAAGGGGTGTGCTTGCGTGTTCTCACAGTCTTCCCTAGGTATCTGCTGTTGCCTTCTCTTATAGACAAGACCTTAGAAGAGGAAGACTTTAGGCTGACCCTTCGCAGTGTAGCTTTTCTTGTATTCTTACATTGTTAGTTACAATACAGTGAATTTAGAATATTGATGATCTTATTATCTCCATGCCTACATTCAGCATTATTAAAACCAGCTTGGACAAAAATGTGGGTTTGTTTTTTAATTGCAGCAGAAAATCTGAGCCACCATATATATATACTGTTTAACAGACAAAAAAATAAGGATGATGTTTTTGTTAGTGACAGACTATCTGAAAGGTCATGATGTATATAATGAAGTGATAGTAACATTTCTACTCAAGAACATATTAACTATTTATCTAAGAAGTGAGATGGTGCTGTGCATGGGTTTGTGCTAGGAAGATCCTCTGTCCTGATCAAATACTTAGATTTTAACAGGACTGCCCCAGAAAGCGGGATCAGCTTGTACTGATCCAGTTGCAGGGGTAGGGTCTGTTAGGTCCTAGTTATTACAATGTTTGGTATATAACGTGGTGAGACACTAGAACACGTTGCCCAGAAAAGCTGTTGCTGCCCCATTCCTGAAAGTGTTCAAGGCTAGGACCTTGAGCAACCTGGTCTAGTGGAAGGTGTCCCTGCCCATAGCAGGTGGCTTGGAACTAGGTGATCTTTAAGGTCCCTTCCAACCGTATAGCCATTCTATGATGCTGTGATGCTATGATTCTAGAAGGAGTAGAATTTGAATAATGGATAACACAATGCTCAAGAAAGTTACTACATGCAGCTAGGTCACTTGAGTGCACCCTTAAATAGGCATAACATCGTATAAGCAATGTTTACAGATATCTTAAAAACAAAGATACCACTTGGGAAGTTCAGATATAATTGCTATCATTATTCAATGTGTTCTCTCTTGAGGAGAGTCATCTCTTTTTAAACACTATAAAAGCCTTTTAGCAAAGGATATTCAGTATATTAAAAGCCATGATTTTTTCACAATGTTTTTAATCCAGCACAAGTAACTTTAACTTCTTAATTATCCTTATAGCATCTTGATGAACATGAAAGTAGAAGTTAAACTGCTGCTTGAGATTTTAAATCCTATGTGTTGCATTATTTAAGCAAAATAGAAATTCTTCTTTTGGATTTAATATATACCTATGAAAATACATAGTATAAATCTAGAAGCTGTGATATCTCACTGAAATTCTGCAAAGCTTGCTTATACTGTTGTGTTAAAAAAACATGTGGTTTTATAACTGGTAGAGGGAAAAGTCAAGTAGCTCCATTATCTTTTTAAAGAGAACCAAAAGTTTTTCATTTATCTTCACCAGGATTTTGCAAAGTCATCATTTCCAAGAATGTTGCAATTCCATTTGTACAAAAGAAGAGGTAAAAAGTGTAAAATGGTTTATATTTCCAAAAGCCTACATAATCCTAAAGCCTTTTTCTATCATTATCTCAGCAGCTTCAAAAGAGACATGGGCTGTAAAAACGGATCCGCGTTTCCTTTTCTAATTGGAATTGACCGATCCTGGTCCAGTTTGATGTCAAGACTCAGATATGGCAGAAAAAGTGATTATGAAAAAACAGGAAATCTTTCACAGCTAGCTACTAAAGCAAGTTCTTTATAACTGCATTAAGCAAATGTGTATAGCTTACAGTCTGTTTTCTTATTTCCACAGTGCATACATTATAACAGACTTCATGGGCATCAGGAATGAAAATTTTATGAAGGTAGCTGCAGTTGGGACTTGGATGGGAGATTTTGTCACAGCATGGATGGTAAGAAATATAATATTACATCTTAAAAGAAAGAAATGTGCTTGTTGGTTTCAAGGGAAAGAGGAGAGAAAACTCAATTTCTTGGAGTATTCAAGTATTTCAAGCCAGACAAGTAGAAATTAACAAAGGCAAAGTAGCATAATGGCAGGGCACTTAATGAGCTGGGAGTGTAGCATTAACATTTCAGTTAAAATGTATCAGAGCAACAATTCTTCAGCTGTGAGTGGGAATTTTGCCATTGACTTTTGCGAGGACAGCACAGTGGCCCTTCCTTGCTATGGAATAGCGCCATGAATTGCTATCTGGTGAAACAGGGAGTAACGGCTTATGGTAAGCAAGTCTAATGAAAAGGATTAAAAAAGAAGAAAATTAGACTGAAAGATGTGACAAAGATCAATGGACATGAGAGAGAGCAAGCAAGGCAGTTACATCCCAGAATTTGAAGGTACGAAATTATCAGATTAAGTTTGTCTCTAATTAAGGATTTATAAGTATAAAGCCTTCAGTTGGATTATCACTGTTACAAAGGTTCCCTCCTGAAACATGGCCAACGCAGAGATCAGCTTAGTGAAAAAGAACCAGAAAATGACAGCTAACTGGGAACAAAATGAATCATGTGCACATGTTTTTATTGTTCAGGAAAAGCATTTCTTAAACACAAAGTGATAAAAAATTGATTCCATTGTATTTTTTAGTAAGATTAGGTTTTTGTGATTAGCATAGGGAAGAATTTTAACAATTATAGCTATGAAATTAATTTAAATTGGGGAAAGAAGTCCATGATTTTTAAGCAGAATTGGTTTGAATGAATCTATTTTTTTCCCCTAATGGTTTATTGATACCTCTGTTTGTTTACTCAGAAGAATCAGCATAATTTTAGAGGAATTCATTAGCAGTGGGAGCATTGTTTGATGGTGAATGTTTATCACACATCACATGAAAATTTATGGAAAAAAAAATCTCAGCACTGTATGTACCTAGTGACTGTAACAATCTCTGATGTAAGCAAAGAAACAAGACAAGGTGGATAAATTTTATGACTGTGATATGTGTTGGGAGAAAACACTATAGGAATGACTGTAGGATGCCAAGACTGTAGTCTGTACGACTGTATGGGAAGTCTTAATAGGGTCATCCAGTTTTCTGTCAATTTATCTTCTATCCTCCACATATTTTGAACATACTGTACAACAGACAGAAGAAAGAAAAAAAGCATCAAAGTTTTTTTCAGCATGTTGTTCATTACGTGTCAGTGGTTTGTCCAAGACAAATTATGCTCTGTGAAATGGTGGCTATGAAAAAGCAAGTACAGAGCAAATCATTTGTACATACATTACAGTACAGACACTGCAGAATTGGTACATTGACTGGTGTTAACAATTAATGTGGAGTTCTTATGAATCAGTAATAAAGTGCATGGCTACTTCTGAATACTTTTAGCTTGACCCTTTTTCTTTATGAGATTCCACAGCTTTATCCCACTATCAAAGGAGAGATGCTGCACAAGCTAAACTGAATTAAGAGGGAGTCATGTTCTTCATACATGTGTGACATAGCACCCAGTGGTAGGTTACATGCAAATTGCACTATATTAGGCAATGTTAATTTTTTTCTGTTCCTCTTTTCTCATTTCCTTGAGAAAAACTGCTACATGCAGCACTATACAAAGCATGGAAATGGCTGGATTCAAGAGGCACCAGAATCCTAATCCTTTTCTGTGCACTCAAAGCCCTGTCGGGTCCTTTCAGCAATGGAAGCACAATTGGATTGTGGATGGCAGATTACAGCAGTGGATGGAGTTTTCACTGAAGAATGGGAGAGCTATCTTGAAAAGAGGAGACTATTTGTAAACTAGGCTGGTTCTGTTAGCTTTTAGGAACAGGAAAAGGCATGGGATTGGAGGTTCAGGATGTTATAGGACATGCTTTATTGCATGAGGACATTTAAGAGGTTTGGTGTTTGGTATTTAGATCTTCAGACAAAAGAGGATAGTTAGATTGCTACTGCAGGGCAAATCTATAGGCAAAGTGTGTGAATCAGCCAATGGAAATTACAGTATTTAACGGCAGCTAAGCATAGGAACATCAAAAAAAGCTACAATATCAGGTAGAGAGGTATTAGTAATAGAGGCAATCGGACATGCAAACCTCTACAACAGCCTAAGTTTAGCAGTCTTATTCTCTATGAACAGAAATTATCCTATTGTTTATAATCTTTGAATTTGCTTGACTTTTTGCATGTAAAACTCAGCATGGAATTGATATCAAAGTGACATAAGTCTTCTGTGGGATTATTATATTTCACATAATTCTCCATTCCTGTTTGTAAATGGGAAGGAAAAGCAAACTTGTAAAGGAGCCTTTGCACATCTTTCCCATTCACAGCAATGCTTATATTTTATAATAATTAAGTTTCTGTAAAGCCACCCAACCTTAGACTACAAAGGAAAAGATGAAAAAGCAGATGTAGCCTTCACTTCAGTGCATTTGAACCATATTGGAATTAGGTTCTTATTCCGTATTTAATTGGGAACCTTGGAAATAATCAGGAATAAAGCAGAACAGATGGGATTTCCATTTTAAAAATGACTAACCAGTAAACAATAATATTGTCCTAGTACAGCAAGGAGAGGCTTAGTAAGTCAGGAAAGTGCCTGGAATGGGAAAACATGTTTTGGATTGCTGATTGTTTTGGATTTGAAAGGCAGAAATGAGCCTTCCCCCTCAACATTTTCTGACTCAGTGACTAGTTTGGTGACAGGGTCTGACTCAATTCCTAGTAAAATCAGCAACTCCCTTTCCATTGTGTGTAGTAAGAATGGGGCCATGCCATGGGTGCACAGGAGCTGCTTCTTTGTGCCTCTGGACAGGAACTTCTGCTACTAACATTTGTCTTTGCTGAAATCTGCAGTGCTAGATGTTCTAAATAACGCTGTGAAGAAGAGAATGGGTTCAATATACCAACCCCCTTTCTGCACCTTTTCCTCTTTGAAGCCAAGGAAGTATATTCTGCACCTGCTTTGACATGCTCTCCCGCTCTGATAAAATGCGCATTCTGTTCTCATGGAGAGTGCTTTTGAGGAAGACACCATAGGATTCAGCACAGCAGGATAGCTTTGAAAAAAGTTTGGATTCCACCCAGACAAGCCTATAAACTAGCAATTATGGCCACCTTCTGGGAGAATGTAAGGAGGCTGAGGAAGGAGCTGATTCCAGAGCAGAATCTCTGATGATTAGAGTCGGGTGGACTCCTGACTCTCTGTACAGTTGAGCATCCTGCTGCAGCTGTGTTCTTGTGAGGGACACAGCCCTGGGCATGTGTGGTAAGGCATGCTTGGAGTACACCTGCAGGAGTGGATGGCACTGAGCATTGACACAGAGGGCAGAGTACAACGAGAACATCCTCTTTTTCACAGTCTCCTGGTGTGGTGGAGCTGCCTGCTTTCCTTGTTCTTCCCTGGCAGTGTTGGCATTTAGACTGTCAAAACTGTTGTTCTCCACTTTGGGTGGTGGCTTTTTTGGCTCTCCACAGACTACATATTGGCCATGCACTATGAATAATACTTGTATCACATTGAGAGATGTGATGAAGGATGATTTAATTTATTATTCATGAAACTAGTATTTACCAAATCCGTGCCAGCATGCTCTTTTTAAAAAGAAGCCAAGACTTCTCTCAGCGATGCGCTTTAGCACAGTGCTTGGCACAATGTCTTCGAGTGTAAGTTGAATCAATGTCACGATTGTTGGCTGTTATTCCTGACACTTTCACTTGATTTCAGGGTTTTTTCCTCACTTGGGACAATGAAGAACATGAGGACCATTCTTGTCTTTCATCATTTTAGCAGAGGAATTAGTAGGAATTTAGGAAGTAGTACTTCCAGTGTAGTCTGGATGGAAGGTTGATAGGTCACAGCTTGTTTCACTGACCCGTTATCCAGGACTGACATAGACACATCCTGTCACCCTGAATGGATATGGAGTTAGAGACCTTCTACCTAAGATTTCTTATCAGGACACAGTATAAGGATTGCAGAAGGTTATTACAAAGTGATGAATCCACACCTACTTTTCCTCATTAGTGGAACTGGACAGTGACCTCCATATACACAAGTTGCCTGGACTTCTGTGCAGTTTTCAGGCAAAAGAGTCAATTCTTTAGGTGAGCAGACCTACACATCACAACATATAACTTGTGGTAGAATGCTGCTCCCCTTGATAAAGCTTATATGTCCTGTGAGAAGAATTTTCTGTTCTCTGAGATTTTCAGCGGTAAATGCTCCAGAATATGCACTTACCTGGCCAAACGGACCAGGTTTTCAGCCTTATAATTCCAGAGGATAAATCCCACACCAGTATGTGTTCTTGCTGTGCTAGTTTTGAAAGAAATAGATTTTGTTCTGTTCTTTTCATTGAGATTTCTCTGTTTGGGACTTTTTTATCTTCATCCTCTGGTGAAGGAGGATTCTATATTTTCTCATGAGACTAGCATGACTTACATGGCTGGTCACAGTGTATCTAATAGAGGGACGGGCCTGTGGCTGGCTCATATGGAACACTCTAGAGGGCTGAAGCCTGTCCACATCGTCCTTGATGTTACTAACATCAAGAGCTGACAGGTTTAAGTGAATGGTTACTGCCATGCAAGCACACAGTAAGTCTACAGACTCCTAAACCATAACTTTCTGTCATGTGCACCATGCTAGAACTCAGGCTGCGTCTGTGAGAACTTAAGAGTCAGACCAAAAATCCATCCAACCTCGTCCTGCCTCAAAATGTGACTATGAGCAGAAGCCCACCAGGAGAGTAAGAACAAGCCAGGCATGTATGGTAGTGTCCTCTAAAGCTCTCTCCAAATGCTTGCAGTTTTGTGTATATAACAACTCTTGATGAATGTCTTCCCTGCTATTGCCCGATCTGCCCTTTAGCCCAGTACTTTTTTAGCATCCACAGAAGTATTTGGCAACAAGTTCCAGAGGTCACTGTATAAGGAATCACATA